GCCTCTGTGCTTGCTTTGCAGGTCTAAGCGCAGCGAAGACAGGATGCCGCATGGGCAAGCCCTGCGAGCCACTGCTCTTCTCTTCTACAGTTCGGACGCCACTCAGGGGCTCACGAACTTTGCTGTCCTTTTCGAAAATACGAAAGCTTGTAAACCACACCCAAGCCCTAGGCCCTAAACCCTACATAAAACCCTGAACACTTTTCGCTCGGAGCCCCCTTGGCTTGAACCCCCCTCCCAGGTTAGCGCCAGCCCCTCTTCTTTCTGCGAGCCTCGGCATGAGTGATATATTGGGATATTAACAGTGCTCTCTACGTATGGTCCTTTTTTGGGAATACCTTATCGGATCCTGAATAGAAGCCGCAAAAAGGTACTACAATGGAGCTTGCAGCTAGTCATGTCATGTTGTATTGGAGGTCTTTGGGGCTTTAGAATTCGGGATCGCTTTAGGCTTCGGGCTTTGCTTTGAAGTGCAAGGCTTTGTTGACCCAAACATCGGCGGTCAAAGGCCAAAAGCGCAGACGAGAAAATGCGAGGCTGTGCAAAAAGCAGCCATCAGAACCAACCAGGCTCCACTTCACGGCAAGACCCGTCCTTCAGCCGGGGTACTGAAGCTGCAGACGAATTTGAAACCCTCGAAACCTGACGCCGAAGACTGCAGGTTTTCGAGGGAGTGTTTTGTTGTAAGATGCTAGTAATTAGAAGTGGGTTTTGGAGCATGCTCTTGTATGGCGACAAATGTAGGGACTATAATGTTAGGGTTGGATGTCTCGGCAACGAGTTGTTCACAGATTTCTTTGCATGGCCCTGCAAGGTTGTCTCGCTGAGTTTGCTGCGCTTGTTTTCGCTGAAGTACCTGCTGATGTTCTACAGATTCTATTTCCTTCAACAAACACTAAAATCCGGGCACAAATTCACGTGCACCGTGGGGAAACAAATCCGCGTGCCAACACCTTAAAAGAAGCACAACGGGTAAACCCTGCCTAGAAATCCGCAAGACAGTACCTCATTCGCCGAGAAATGCGTCATCTCCTCGTCGATTTGGGTTTCCTATCGGTTGAGGGTTTCGGGACATAGGATGAAGGCTTGTGGCAATTGGGCTTAAGGATCTAAGGGGTCTGCAGAGTCCGGGTATAGTTGCGAGCCGTCTATTCGGATTTGGCTCTTGTGATGTTTTCGGCGGGGTTTCACTTCGTGGTCGATGGTCGAACCAGGATCCCCCTCTTGCGTTCCCGGCTGCGAACCTGAAGCCGTTGAGATCCTGAAACCCGAAGCATTACAGACCCAAGCCCTAAAAGGTAACTTTAAATCCCAAGTAACCCTAAGCTCTGAACCTTGAAACCTGCCGGGTTTCGGGTGTACTCAAACCCGAAAGGTAGGTAAGAATGGCCCAAGACCCATACAAGGCTACTGTTCTCCATACGCTTGGGTCCAGGTAGGGTGTTTTTTTCTTAACTGGCTCTAAACCCTAAACCCCCAAAGCCCTAAACCCTAAAACCCTAAACCCTAAAAACCCTAAAAACCCTAAACCCTATAAGCCCTAAAACATCCTAAAAACCCGAAAACCTAAACCCAAAGCTCTTGGGTTTTGTTGGGGGGGATCCAGCCGAGGCTTCTCAAGGCACAGCGCCTTGCCTGCGAGGCCTGGCTCCCAGAAGCGGGTGCAGGGGGGGAGGTGTGCCCCTTGTTGGGGTGTTGCGATGTTGAGGATCCCAGATAGATAGATAGATAGATAGATAGATAGATGGATAGATGGATAGATAGATAGATAGATGGATGGATAGATAGATAGATATCTGGAGCTCCCACACAGAGCTCCGGATGTATGAAAGCGCCGTCCCTTAATGAGGGGTGTCATAGCCAGTTGTGGTCTTGGAAGAGGGTCGTGGGATAAGGACCCCTTGCTGAATCAGGGAGCCAACAGGGAAGAGTTGAGAAGTTCGAGACAGCGGTGGGAAGAACCTTCCGGAAGCCTGCTTTCAGGGGCTCTCCGTCACCACATGCAGACTTGAATAGGCAACCCAGAAAACACCGAAGCGACGAGAACTGGGGTCTCAATCTTCTGCATCGTAGACCGCAAACATTAACAGAGCAGCAGCCGAGACAACCCCATGAGACCAAAGTGTGCACAGCACTGCGGTGAGAACACGGCGTGATACCCTATAGAACATGCATTGTACTGTGGCCATTAGAACACGACTCCGGGAAGCGGAAGCGCAAGGGAGACCAACTAATGAATTGAGTTTGTTTGACGCCGAGTTTAAATCGTGCTACACGTCGTTTGGGAGTAAACTGACTTCCGGAAGTTGTTGGAACCTGCAAAAGCTGGGCTGTGCTGGTTAATTCGACTCACGCACGCAACGCACAGGGCCTGTGCATAGAATCCTGAACCCTAGGTTCTATGCCAAGACCCTGTCCGATGTCTTGATCCCTACTGTATATACGCCTGGTTGAGCCCCTCCCCCATAGCGCCAACATAGCCTTCATAAAACCCTTTCAGCCCCTCTGTTGAGCATCCCCCCATCGACGCAGAACCCTGCACCTGACTAAGCCCGAAGTCTTGTGTGCACCTTCGGCCCTCAAAGGTGCCCTGTATCGAAAGCCAGGCCTCCCCTGATTCTGGGGTCGCAGGGCTTTGAGTCTTAGGACCTGCCTGTGGTCTCCATTGTAGATCCTTTGTGGAGTGACCTTATGGGATCCAAAATACAATATTATGTTAAACCAACAAAGGAACTACGTACAATTGAGACTATAGGCAAGATCTAAGGCAAACAGGGCCTCAGTCTCTGCGATTTAAAGGAGTTTGGAGTTTCGAATCTTTGGGGCTTTGTGCCTGGTGGTTAGGTAGGTTTTGGGCCTGGGGTTTCGAGGTTAGGACAGGATTGTAAGATCGGCCATGAGTCCTAGGCTTCAAATGGAAAGGCCCAGCCAACGCGTATTTCCGCGCTCACAGGGCAAAAAGACATGTCTCAATTTAGTGTAGGTGCGTTTTCGGATGTATTCAAGCGCTCAGTCCCAACAAGATTTGCCTGTCATGTCGCAGGCAGCAAATACAAGCACGAACCCCTCAATACCATCCTCAACCCCCGACCCCAGACTCTAAACTGCAATCCAAATCAAAAGCAACCAGAGGCGGCCTGGGCTGCTCGAGTGGAGGCTTGCTCGAGCAGGGGTGGTGATTGTGGCGGTGGTAGCAGAGGCGCACAGGTGCAGAAAACGGCAAGAAGTATAGTAGCAGTAGTAGTAGTAGTAGTAGTAGTAGCAGTAGTAGTAGTAGTAGTAGTAGTAGTAGTAGTAGTAGTGGTAGTAGTAGTAGTAGTAGACGTGGTGGTGGTGGTGGTGGTAGCAGTGCAGCACCTAACTAGGCTAGCGAGATCGTTCCGAAAGCCGCCCTGAGCCGTTGTCCAGCACTTTGAGGGGTCTAGGGTGGCGACGAGAAGTGTCAGCAAGCCCGAATAAAGCTGACAAAGAACTCCGATGTCGGAACTCGCCAGTCCAGGATCTCTTTTGTTGTTGTAGCTACCTACTACGCACGAAGGCCGCTACATCTTGGACCTGAGCCTTATAGGGTGCTGCGCTACAACGGCTCTTCCTTGGTTCAAACCCTAGTTTTACAATATTCGATACATATAGTTTGAGTCCCCAAACCTTGTTCTGGTTGTTAAGGCCACCATACTGGGCCTTTGCTGTTTAATCCGCAGTGCCTTTATTTCGAACCTCTCGAGCTTTCTACTCAAAGAGCTTCCAGACAAGGCAACGCTGGCTCCACTGGTGTCCCTGGTACTTTGGGCCTTTGGCCCTTGCTATCGGAAGCTTGGATGAGAATCCAGAAATCTCCCGGAAGCATCGATGCGGCTGCGGGAGGTAGGCCTGCTCACGAAGAGGTGTAGAGCTTTTTGCATCAGGATTCGGTTGCCGAGCTTGGGGGTTCGTGGCTATTGAAAGAGGGCTCCACCCAGTAGGGGCTATAGGGTTTATAGGGCTACCGTTGTCACAACTACTGTTCCAAGGCGAACCTTGCACGTTTTACATCGTTCCAGGGTTTAGAGGAAGATCAGTTTGCTGCGCTATGGGAGCAAGTGACGGCCAGTTTGAGGGCGACCATCAGGGATCTAGAGAGCCGAGAGATCTTGTTTCATTTTGGAACCTGGTGACTCGATGACTCGATGTGCCTCGAGCTTATCTCCCAAACAGTGGACTTCCGAATCAATCGGTTCCACAGGCAAGGCGCGAAGCAAACAGGCTTTGTGAGAGCACTAGATGTACTCATAGGGTCATAGGCAGACCCTGCAGTTCGTGTGCAGACGATCTCTACCTGTAAAGGAGACCTTTATCAATGAAGGAAAGGGAGATGATAGTGAGAAGTGTAGCAGCTACAGCAGCGAACAAGAACAGCTGCAATAGCAAGGCATCGTACTACATTCTGAGTGATACTGGATGACACAGCATACATTGCAAGTTTTTATCGGCGGTAGGTAACTAACTACACGGACTGGGTCTCTGTTCGGTTCTGCCTTCGATAGAATTGGTGGTTCTGAGCTGCCTTAAATATATCCTACCTGGCATTCTGGGAAAAAATTGAGATTTCCCTCCTGATTGGTGCTTACAGAGGTACATATTCAACAATACCAATAAGGACCCCAAAACTACAACCCAGAACCCTACAGACCTACATTGACATTTGAGCTGAGGCGCCACACTCGTGCAGCGGTGCTGCGGGGTTCTTGCTGCTGGGCTGTTACGCCAGACCCGGCCCTTGTATGTAACGTTAGGACATCAGGGCTAAGCATGTGAGCTTAATGCCTAAGGTTCCGGAGGCTGTCGTGATTTTACTGTATCTGCATTTGGGCTAGCTCGTCACGGGTAGATTTTGGTTTTCAACAAACTGAACCCCAGCTGCAGTGCACGCGCGAGCCCGGAGATATCCTCTGGCTGAGTCCGAGTTGCGAGAGCGCAAACCCTGAACCTCTATCCCTAAGCAGCAAGTCCCTGAAAATGAGGTTTCGCCGCCTGGCCAGTGTCCGTGATCTTCTGCCTTCGGCGACGATGGCAAGCACGGCATGGCATCGGTCTCGCGGCTGACTGCAGGATTTAAGGGTTCAGGGTTTAGGGGTTTAGGATTTAGGGTGTAGGATTTAGGGTTCAGGGTTTAGGGTTTAAGGTTTAGGGTTTAGGGATGAAATTCCCTCAGCATCAGCCATGTCCTGAGGTCGCAATCTTAGAAGGGAAGCGAGCGTGGCTCCTTTTCAGACACCTTGAACCTTACAGCTTTGAGACTACGACACCAAGACCCGCAGGTTGTCGTGCCCAGCGTTGATACTCTGAACCCTCAATTTGTTGTTCGTTCAAGCCCGGGGCGCTCAATACCCTAGAAGTGAGGCACTTTTTCCTCAGCTAGAAAAGCGTTTCATTCCGTGGGGCTCCCGTTTCCTGAATTCTAGGTTGCTGGGGTACACGATATATACTTATGTTAGTTACGTACTTTTTAGTTAATGGGAGCCCTATAGCGACTGTCATTGGATGTGTGAGGGCTTTGGGTCTCTTTCCTTCCTGCAATTCTGCGATGTGCCAAGATAGCGTCCGCGGCGCTATCAAAAGCCTTGAGCCCGAGTACCTCGGCATGTCAAAGAGTCTTTTGCCACTGTGCTTTAGGAGCCGCAATCTTGGGATTTCTTCGTTATGGATGAGTTGCAGTAGCACAACCCGTAAGATTTGTTATCACAGCCGAAACGCGTGGATTCGTGCTGGTGTCGCTGGCTGGGGCTGCGGAACCCATGTCTTTGTCGCAACAACTGTAAGCTCGAAAACCCCCAACCTAGAATCGGCTAAGTATCAACAACAGCCCAAGCCCGTGAACCTGTAATGATTAATTAGCTCCAGTGCCGAAAACTCCCGACCCTGAAGCCTTAAATTGCAAGCCAACAGTAAACTTCAACCGCCACCTGCAAAAAAAGGCAACAGCACAAGACAAGCCGTCAATCTGAGCCAAGAAGCCCTTCAGCCCTTAGACCTTAACCTTCGACCCAAACCTTGCACGTGCACCTTAAGGGCCAGTACAATATAGTAAACATCGCTGTAAAACGTTCTGAAACCTTGTGACTACCCAGAACAGCAGCTACAACAGAATCACGCGTACAGAAAACAGCAGTACCAAGCCCTGTAATATCAAAAGAAAAGGCCAGAACCAAAGTGACAAACAGTACCGTCAACAACAAGCCGTAAAGGCCAAGTAAACCAACAAACAAACATACGATCTGCAATTTGGGGGACATCCCACTAGAAGGCTCGGGCGCTTTCTGGAAGACTGGGAAGACCGTAGCCGCAGGCGAAGGGTTCCGGCTGAAGTTTGTAAGTTTAGGTTTGGGGTCTAGGGTTTAGTTACGGGTTTAGAGTTAGGGGTCTAGGGTGTAATTACAGATCTAGTTTATGGGTTCAGTGTCTCAGCGTTTTTCGGGTCCAGGGTCTCGGCTTCACTGGATGTCTGTTCTGCCTTGTCTTCCCTTTGAAAACGTCCCACATGTCCCCCCACCATAGCGCTAAGCTTTTGCTTGTTTGAGGGTTGAGGTGTTATGGCTTCCCTTTTGGAGCTTAGAGCCTTGAGGTCTTTGTTCTGCTTGGCCACCAGAAGCCCAAAGAATGTAGGATGTTCCGAAGCCTACATCCCGGTATGTTTGTGCTGATGCTTAGTGCTTAGTCAGCAGTAGTCGTCGTTGTCGTCGTGGTAGTGGTAATGGTACTGGTAGCACAAGTGGTAGTGGCCGTGCTCTTGGCCGCGCAACTGATAGTGATATTCGCCGTCGTAGTCGTAATGGTGGTAGTAGTAGCAGCAGCAACAGTAGCAGTAGCAGTGGTTGTAGTTGTAATTCGTGTTTGTTGTTTTGTGGTGTTGCTGATCTTGTTCTTGTTATAGTCTCTGTTACTGTTATCGTTGTTGTTGCTGTTGCAGTTGTGGTGGCAGAAGTAGTGTCACTGGCAGAGCCAGACATGTGCAACCACCGCCATCCTCAATAGCGAATTTCAGGGGATGTCGTACGCCTTCAACGAAAGGCTTTCTGCCTCCGAAGCGCCGTCACTGGATGAGTTGATGTTCCGGGCGCATGCGCTGCCTCTGCTCGGCGTTCCCGAGGTTTGGCTTGGCATGACGGTCTTTCGGGTTTCGAGGATACATATGAGATGACGAAGTGCATAGTTATCTACGGCCTTCCAATACCCCTTCGCAGACTATAGGAGTTTAGAGTTTTCCATGTTCCGTGCTGTGTGTACAAGGTTTCGGTCATTCTTGCCAGGACTTCTGCAAAACCGCTTCAATCAGCAATCATGATGCAACCCAGAAGAACAGTAGTGATACCAGTAAGGGTTGCTACCTAGAAGTGCGAGCGCGGCTATAGCACGGAGACGATGCCTTCGCCCTCCTTGCTTTTTCACCGTAATCCGAGGCTAACTAAGCTGACCCTAGTAGAAGTAGAAGCAGATGTAACAGTAGTAGTAGTCGTCGTCGTCGTCGTCGTGGTGGTGGTGTACTATAATGATGGTGTCGTCGCCGTCGTCGCAGTAGTAGTAGTGATGGTACTTCCTGGTAGCGGCAGCAGTAGTGGAGCCGAAGGTTTGGCCAGGAAGTACGGGTTATTAGTGCAGGATTAGCCTCCTCGGGCTAGTCTAGGATTAGCCTGGGATGGGCTTAGCATGAGCGTCGGATTACGGTGGAACAGCAAGGAGAGCTGGATTAGGGAAGGATTTGGCAGAGGATTGGCGTTGGATTACGGCGAAACAGAAGGGGAGGCCTGGCTTCGATAGGGTTAGTACGGTGCGGCACAACAGTGTGGGAAATCCAAGCCAGGACATGTCACAGCAAGTTGAAACAAGCCTCGGGATTACATCAGGACAAGCAATGAATAAGCAATGGCTAAGCAAGATAAGGTTCAATATCATGCTTTAACTTGCCCACCCCCCCCCCGCCTCACCCACCCTCCCACTACTTCATGATGCCAGAGAATCAGGTAGATGTTTGGGGCTTGGGGGCGTTGGGGTTCATGGTCCTCAGTCGTGATGATAGAGGTCGAACGGATCAGGCCAGTCCTCAAGTCCAGTATCAACAGAGGGCTTTGGGAGGGTTGCTGGGGCTACCACACCTTTTGGCTGGGACTTTAGAGGCCTCGCAGTTTCTGGTTTTGAAGCAAAATCTCCGAGGAGTGAGGTTTGGGGGCGGGTGCAGGGCCCTGGAGCCGTGAGGTCAGTGTCCAAACTAAGTACGGAATAAATATATACACCCACCAAGATACTCGTACTTGCCTGTATATACAGTTTTATACATCACAACCATTCTACCCCAAGTACCCCAGGTCATCTGCACCCTTAGGGCAATGGGCATGCAGCAGGAGTTGTGCCCGCTGGCCCCTGCGCTGCAGCAGTGGCTGAGAGGCTGCACGGAGGCAACGGACGTGTTCAGCCGTCGAGTACGTCGAGTAGGTATGTCTTACCCATTTTGGGGTAGTCGAGCCTTACCCTAAGGCTGAACATCTCAAAGCCACTATTTAGTATTGACTGCGGGCCCAAATGCACTTGAGAGCTTCGAGCTTGTAAGGTTACATGCTCTCGAAGCTTCAGTAGTAGTTCCCGGAAGAAGCTGGACAAGTAGGACTGCACCAGGACCGTCAGTTTCAGTGCGACGCCAGCCCAGTTGCTGACGAGTCTTGCAATATGCCGGGTCCCACAGCGAGCCATTTTGTTTCTCTGACGTCGTGATGGCCAATATTATTCTTGATTTCAGGGGTGAAATAAACAACTAAATCAGCAAATTGTAACGATGATTGTGTTTACTAGTCGAACAAGCTTGGAGTCGACCGTCTGGAGGTTGGATTGCTTTGGGTTTTTAAGATCTACCGAGGCTCGCCGTAAAGGTCACGTGTTCTTCGTGGATAAATGGGCTTGCATGCGGTGGTTGGGGATGGGCTGTGTTGGGTAACTGCGGTTGATTCGAAATGAAAGCTGAGTTTCCTTGACCCCTAAACCAATTTCAAAAGTTCGGAGTTCGATTTCAATAGGGCCCCGCAAATCAGGGCTCGTTTTGGGCTTTACCTAGACCCTGGATTGTAGTAGCTACCCTTTCATTGGATAACAGGTCTTATATGCCTCAGACCCGAGATGATGAGAAATACTAAGAGACATGTCAGTGGAGCCTCGCAGGCCATAGGAGCTCGCCTGGAGATGGCCAGGCGCCTCCTTGGTTCCTGTTTTGCAGGGTGGCACAATGATGTTGTGTTTTTTTTGGAAGGGTCTTATACAATTAGGTGCGTTCTTTTGCTGGGATCCCTCATGATTCGTGGAGACACTTCCGGGCGTCTAGGGTGCGATGGTATCAGATTATCCTTCTGCAAAAGACCATCAGGATTCTGGATTGATTGATAAGCTCTTGAACCATGAGCCAAGAAGCTCAGGGATATGCGCCATCATAATGCAGTCATGGCCGACTCAAGTCTGTAGGGCTCGACAGAGTTCGTGCCTTCATGTTTCCCTTTGCTTTCAACGGCGATCCACAAGAGGCCAGGTGAGCCCCCCCAAGCCCTTGCGAGGGGACTGCGGGACTCGAGCAGCCAAGCCTTTCAGCAGCCGCCCCTATCTGTCCGGCCGAGGCGTTCTTGCCCCTAAGCGGAACCTTGAAGCCCTTAAGGGATCCTTTAAGAGTTCCGTTTGATTGGAAGGATTATGAAGGAACCCTTGAAGGAACCTTTCAACCCCTGAAGGAACGGAGGAACTTGAAAATCCCAAATCCCTTCTCTCAACAGGAGCCAAGAGACGTCCTCTGCACCGCTCCGCTGGGCTTCTGCGGAGGCAAGGGAACACGTTTGCTGTGGGGGTTTCTGTTGTCATTGACTTTGGGGCTTTGAGGGTATTTATAGGGTTTAGGTTTTGTTTTGTTTCTAGGTGCTTTTGTGGCCATTGTTGGGGCGTAAACTTTGGGTGATTTTTTTCGGGGTTGAGAGCTGGATTCAATTCTAAGATTTTTGCTGGAGCGATGAATTTTCGGCCCGTTAGGATGAATTTCTTGAGCCTTTTACCTAACTGGAGTAGTTGAAGGGTCCGCGAGGTCTGATGTGCGCACATCCCGGAACTCCCGTTGTGGACGGTGCTGGATTTTGGTGTGGGCATATAACTTTACATGCTTGTGTTTCATGTGGAATGGTGTCTTCGGTGATGTTCAGTGCTTGTGCAGCAAATCTGTGTTTGCGTGTGTGAGGCTTCTTGCTATAAACCTGAAACCGTTTTCCTTGTTCGATTTGGGCCTGTGGCTTGGACTGCAGGTTCGGGGTTTGGTCGACATGCCATGGCTTGTGCCGTCAGCTCTCACATCTCGGTTGAAACGCCAGAAGCCCTAGAACCCTCAATCTGCAGGTTGTAAGCAATCTTGACACTGCCAACCCTCTTTTTGCATAATCCTACACCGACTAAGCCACCGAAACCCTAAACCGCTAAACTTCCCAGGCGGTTCCGAACAGCACTCCATATGAAGTAACCAGTTTTCTCGTAACCATGATGAGTTCCACATCCTAAACTCCTAAACCTTCGAAGGCCTGTCGGAAAACCTTGGGCTTTTGGAGTTCGACCCCATATAAAGCCCGAAGC